ATGGCTCTAAGTACCGTGGTTTTATCACAAAGCGAAAAACATACATACATTTATTCAGATTCTTCATTATTTAATTTCTTTAAATATAATACAGAGATGTAATATTTGAGGGCAACAGTTTGGAAAAGTGAATCAATGCAAAATGCCTTCTGGACGGACGGCCTTTGGGCTAAAACGAATCGTTCTCAGTATTTTTTCTTTTTTTTTTTTTGTCTGAGAACACATAGCAAATGCTTCTTTAAAAATTTGTACTTATCTATTAGTCCAAAGTTTATAAAATAGCTTAACTGCCATAAGGTATAAATTGCGGGAATTCTACAAAGAATACTTACATATAATTCTATTAAATTTGTATTATTATTACGAATTGACCAACAAACTAAGACACAATAACGTAGAACTTTTTATAACTCTTGATGCAGCGTTCTTTTCATTCAGACTGTCCCTGACATAAAATTCTGCTATGGGACTTCTCAGTTCGGTATGAGAACAAGTCTAAATTTTAATTAAGCAAATACAGACATATGTAAGCAAGAGGGAGTTAAAATCCACTCACGACCTCAACTCCTTTGCACTTACAGCCTCTTCTGAATTCAGGTGCTATGCCTCAGCGAGGTCCAATACCCGCTTGCCTGAACTGCCAACAGGTTTTGAAATCTTTCAAATATTTTCCTGCCAATTTCTTCTGCACAATAGAGAAAAAATAAAATTTTAAAACCATATTGCGATTATAAATTACTACCCTAGAAACTTCAATCTCCCATTCCCTTTTTCCCTCATTCGAGAATAAGAGTAGGCTTCGAGCTCGGCCTCCTCACACAAATTTTGGAAATAATCAAATGTACTTTTTGGAGAAGAGGGCTGATATTAATCTGTTTAGTTTTCTTCCCTTTACCCATTTTATAGCATTAAAATATATTAATTAATTACAAATATCTATTTTTAAATGCCTTTTTTTTAATTAAGTACAAATATTTTGAGATTCTTTTAAAATTCATTGTATATGTTTAAGGAATTCTTTAAGTCTACCAACAATCGAGTGGCCTGGTAGTTTGATCTCGATTCCATTGTGGCAAACGGGCGGTTACATGGGCGTTTTCCTAGTTTTTACCATGTATAATGTAGATACGTGCCAATTTCCCTTAGATAACTCGGCACAAAAACGTCTCTCTCCTTAGGTATATAGGCCCTAGCGCGCCTTGTCAAAATCAAATAAGTCAATAGATTCTTTTCTCTCCTTACTGCGTACGCGTACTTTCGTGGTGTAACTGAAAGCACGTCCGTCTGAATCCTTCCGACGCGTCCGACCATCAGTCTGGCACGTCCGACCTTCATCATCGCTGCTCAGATTCAAGATAAAATCCAACGTCAGCTTTATTTTCTTTTGTTTCCTCATTGCCGTGAATCTAATTAAGTTTCTCCTTAGGACATAATAAAGATTGAAGTGCACTAGCCTTCATCTTCGTCATCAATTAAAGTGAATAAAAACTTAGACCAAGAAAAAGTTTTATTGAATTATAATCTAAAAGTTTAGACATTATTTTGTGAAATAAAGATATCAAAATTTAACTTAGATTTGAGAAAGCGCTTTACGGATTTCTGATGCTAACCGTTTAGTGCATTGTTTAATTGTTTATCCTTCAAAATTGCTTACTGGATTCGGTGGAACGAATATTAAAAAATATTGAATGTTTATCGAATCTAATTTGAAGACGGTTAATTTTATCCCTTTCCTGCTTCGCCTAAGAGTTTCTTTGTGAACCTCTTAACTTCATAATCTTTCTTAATCCACTGCGAACTAAATGAAATTATGTGATAAGCTTTAAAGCTACAACATCATTTTATTAAATGATGTTAATTGTTAACAAAAAATAAAATTAATTGTTTCTATGTTTAAGATGACTTTCTAAATTTAGTCGTTTTAAACGTAGTCTAATTCTGATAGCTGGATGTAGGAGTTCTGCATAAGCATACATATAGTACAATGCGGAAAGACTTGAAATGTTATGGATTTAGATTGTGAAAGAACTACCAACCTACATTCAAAGTAGAATTTAGGATGTGAAAGAACTACCATCTTAATCTCAAAGATGAGTTTGCTATTCTTTTGCTATCTGTAAAGAAAGATAAAATTAACTAAGCATAAGACTAAAAATATACTAGGATAATTTCAAATCTCCCGAAGCAAAACATTTTATTGGAAGAGTTTAAGATGAATTGCTTAATTTTCCTTTAAATAATTCAACGGATGATCCAGAGAACAAGCTCGCGTAATTATTTGAATTTTTCATGAAATTTTGCTTTGGATTAAAATCGCATTGTTTTGAAACAATAATAACTTTCGTGAAAGTTTGCGTTAGTCTAAATTAATAACACTCAAATCAATTTTTATATATTAGCCCACCAGCGGCCGAGCGGTAAAGTCGCTGAAACACTGGTAGTTCGGTACGAGGTTCGAATCCCACAAACGGGCTGGCTGCATGGGTGTTTTCGTGGGTTTTCCCCATGTGTAACGTGTATACGAGCCAGTTTCCCTTAGAAAGACCTCCACGAAGGCATCCCTCCCCTTAGGCAGATAGCCCTAGTGTGCTTTGCCATAATTAAATACACCAACACCAATTTTTATATTACAGAATGTAGTGCCGAATTCAAGAGAGCATTCACTTTATAAAGTAACCACTTGTTGCTCTTCATGAATTATGCTACGACGATCATAAAAGGTTTTCATATTGAATATTGAGTGATAAAATAAAGCATAAAATTGAAGTTGCCATTGTTAAACTATTAGAAATTGAGTTACTGTTCTTATCAATATGTTCAAACTTTTTCCATAAATTTATGCTCTGACGTTTGTGAACAAATAAATAGACGAGGAAAACCCTTATGCTTATGAAGTACATAATCTGCGATTTACATATGCTTAAAACAGTGCATAATTTACAAACTAATTTCGTTTAAATTGTTTTTAGGGGAGTTGTTTGAAAGCTTGATGAGTGAAATAATGAGCCACCATTCAGTATGAACATCGATTTTCAATGTTTTCACACAGATGCGTTTGCTTACAAAGTACTTGAAAATTACGAGTTGCTTTTTAGCTTTATTTGTTTTCAAAAAATATTCGTCTAACAGGTAAGAGATATACGTCGCCTATGTTATTGATGCTAGTTAAATCGAGTATATTTCAGAAAATTTTCTGAAATATACTCTATAAGATACCAACATTTCTGGGAGTGCTTTCTTAAAGTTAAACATGTTTGTTTCAGCACTTAATATTTCCAGAAGTCTATTCAAAACTAAAGTTAACTTACGTTTAGCATTCTGCTGCAATGTCCAGGGATCAGACTGCATATAAACAAGAATGTTTGCAGACGCAGTCCGATGCAAGGATAAAAATGGAATTTACGGATTTGCTTTGTTTGCATTTGAAAGGAAATCCAGTTTTTTGCTTCACGAATGCTTTTGGTAATGGAATAAAATGCTTTTCGTAGCATATAATTAGATTTTCAAACACTTCTAAATCTGAGATATGTCAATCTGAGATAAGTCAATTATTTGCATTTCATTACAAAGAAATTAAAATTAAGCGTACTCAAAATGCTTAGAAAAGTAACTCAAAGCTTTTTCAAATTAGAAAAACAATCGTAGTCTTTGCTACTCTACCATATTCAAGAAGGATAATAGAATGAGGCTTAGACTGGATATTAAGTTACTACTCTATCATGAATTGAGGTGTCTAGTTTCGCAAAGAGATAAATTCGGCTAAGCGATCTGAAGGACAGACTGAAAAAGACAGAACAAAAAGAAAACCGCAGAACACAGAGGAGCAATTAATCGATTTGCTTGTTTGTTACTTAAGTTGTCTTGTATCGATTAATCTTTTCCCCCATTTAGCAGATGTTTTTCCCTAACCTCACTAATTCTGTTATCAGTTACTCTACGTAGTTTGCTTCCTACCTTGAAATTTGTAAAGGGTTAACTAAATGTTAGAATATTCCCCAAATCTAGCATGGTTCTGTATTATAACAATTTCTACACAGTCAGTACTTCAATTGCGAACCCTCTCTTTCTTTTATTTTCGAACTCCTAAAACTGTGATGAAGTGTGACAAAATACTTCAAAGTTCAGTGATGCAAAGTGTCATACCTGTCAAACCATCTTTTCCTACGAAATGCCACAAATCTAGACACAAAGATTCTCAGCAGAGTTTGTTTATGCTCTTCCTCTCAAAGAATACGAACCAGTTAAGAATAACCTTTACGGTCTTCGCTATTCAGTTCATGCGCAATATGCTGGCCTTTCTATTTTGAAATGCCTATATGGATAAAAGCACGTTTGTCATCATTGTGAAATTCTGAATCCGGTTTTGACAAAGATTCAATCTGTGGTTGGAGGAAAAAAATCTTAGAGTGCTTATAATGACTGTTTGATTGGTCTATTTTTTGAAGGTACGCAATAATGCCTTTCAAAGTAGGGAACTAATTTCGTGGATGATGTTTTATGGAAAGTTTTCCATGTTTACGCTAAACATGGAAAAAACCATAAAACCAGACATGCAACCTGTCAGTCTATTTTCCAAGATTCGTTATGGAACCGACCTAAAAATATCCAGCAGTCCTTACCCACCCTGCCACTTGCGGTGGTGGGGTTTCATGGTTTAAACATGTAGTCACTTGGTAGTGGTTGAGTCAAAGTTAAATGTAAAGCATTTGATCAGATTTTCTAGTTTAATTCCTAATGCCGTTATTTGTTACCACCATTTGAAAATTTGTAATTCTAAACTAAAAAGACAGTTCTTCTGGCATTACATAGCACCTAGCAATATCACCTAACAGCTAAAAATCAGAAAAGAAGACATCACAGCTCTATGAACTCAGATATAGAATGTACTCTCCTGGAGGGTCGCATTTTGAGATCGCTTAATATCACACTAAAATACGTCAACTTAATGAAAACATGAGAAGACTTCAGAAATCAGTTCCAGTTAGCTGTTTTATACTTACTATGTCTTTCCACATTCATGAGCAGCAACCCTTCAATAGCACTTTGGGATTCCTTGACCCAGGCGAAGGCTTTCCTTTGGCGGTTCAGTTGACTAGCTAACCATTCCTTGGGTGTCAGGCGAAGTGTAGTGCTGGGGAAGGGTAGGTCCTGGGAGGCGAATGACGCGTTTTCCCGGAAATCAATGATGATGCACACTTTCGGATCCGAAACCTCCAGCGTGTTCATCTCCTGCAACGATAGAACACATTTTTCCTAATTATGTAGTATAATACGTGCAACACAATAATAAACATACTCTAGAGTTCAAGGATAAAATTAGTTGAATGATGTTCTTAGTCTAAAAATTTATAATGCGTGCCTCAAGTAAACCGGTGTAACAAATAATTCAGCAAAGCTGCTATTAAGTTTAATTTGATTCTGAACTACCATTAAATTTAGTTGGTACATTTTACTATACTTAGTTTTTAAAGATGTTAAAGATGTGTTTGAAAATTTCTTTCCATTTCATTTCGCACTCCAGTGGGCACTTGATTACTTACGATTTCTCAGTGAAAATTTAGACTTCACATTTACATTTTGTATAAGCTGGACAAATAGATGATTTATTTTGCTACATTGCATTTACCAAGTGTTATATTTTGATAAATTACTGATAATTTGTTTTACTACTGAAGTTTTTATTTTTACCAAATATTCTGCATTTTCTACTAAGTTTTATAGCACAGTAAAACTTTCCAAAATTATTTTCATCGATAATCTGCAAAGTATTTATTAAATGGAAGTTTTAAATACAAGCTATACTTTTAACTAGTGTTTCTGACTAAAATGAGAGAAGTTGTTAACTTCGAAAGCAATATTATTATAAAAATTGCTGCCAATTTATAAACTGGGAGTTCATGGAAAGGTAACTGAAGCAAACGTTTCAGGGCATTATTTTCATATTTCATTTTGTATTTAGCAAAACTTAGGTTTCATAGTTTATAAGGATACAATATGTTTATGTGTGATAAAACGTATAAAATTCGAGTTAAGAATTTATTTTAAAAGCACAAGAGAAAGTATGTTGACTTTTCTTCAGTGAGCATTTGAGACAAGGAAGTATAAAAGAGGTCTCTTAAAAAGTCCATAAAGGCATCCCTCCTTATAGGCAGATATCCTTCGCGTACTTTGCCATAAGTAAATAAACATACCAAAAAGCCAGTTGTATTTTTAGTTAGTTTCAGATTATACCTGGGATGTTTTAAGGTAATCTTTCAGATTATAGACGCTTTTCGGCCTCTATGTAAAGTATCGTAGCACAGGTTTTTTTTTTTTTTTTTAAGATTTAAAGCAGGGTTAAGAAAAATTTAAAAATATATCATAAAATATTCAGTACATTAACTGCACAAACAGACGCAGACAAGAAAATTATTTTTCATTAAATGGCAGAAGTAGATTATGTAGCATTTTGGATTTTTCTATATTACGATTTATTCTACTTACAGGAAAGTACAGAGTAAAATTATTTACTTCCAAAAATATGCTATTTCTTTTATTTTCATATAGAGCTCAAAATGTAACATTGCTTATTTTTTAATCTCTTTCTTCCACTTCGTCATTTCAATTCTTTGGCAAACTTTCAGCAAACATTTTCTCCTTTATTTCTATAAATCCATACAGTAATTTGAACATGGTAAACACCAGATTTTTTTAAATAACTTGTTGACAAAATAAAGAACCAGGCTCCAAGTTAGAATTTTTTTCCTGCATGATTAGATTCAAAGTTCAAGCTTGACAAATTTTTAAATAGAAATTGGTATGTTAAATCTATACTTACATTTAATAGCTGTAGTCAAGTTCTTTATCGTGGTAAAGCTACAGAAACATAAATTAAATAGCTAGCCGCTGTTAACTCGTCATTTTGAAAGGAAGATCTTCAAATTCTGTCATGTCTAAATCTTTTATGTTACAAAATTGCATTTTTGTTGGAGTATTTATTTCAAGTAACTTTTGCTCAAGAAACAGTTCATTTATACTTTCTTTATGATTTTCATATGAAAGTATGGATCAATGACTTTTATAAACCTTCGTTCTGTTATGCTGTTATCCACTCAAATATTATGAGATTAATAACGAAATCTTCAGATTCTTGATGAATATTTTTAATTACGAAATAATAGACGATAATTTAAAAAGATCGCAACTGCTTTGTCCCATCGGATGTCAAGTAACTATTTATGATAGAAGGTATATTTACAAAGTTTCCTGTGCATGAGCTGCCTGTTACGCAACGCATATCCAGAGAGTAATGAAGTTCTTGCCATACAAAGTTGCGGTAAGCCCAAGTTGATGCCTCAGTAGGCTTTCATAGCTCTTGAAAATTTTGAGTTAATAAACAGCTTACTTTACTTACCACCCCAGAAAGAAATATCGCGGGATTTAATACCAGCTATATTAGTAACTATTTAGGATGTATAAAGTCATTGCCTGTAGAACGGTCAATCTAGCGACGAAGTAGATGATCATTTAGGTAGTGCCTGACTTCATAGTGATAATTCAATGTGATGGTTGCTTCTCAAAATGTTGACATTTCTCCTGTCCATTAGTAACTTCGCCGCTCCTCTATCACAAACATTTACTTTGTGCCAAATGCGAAAAAACAACTTAATTCTAGTTGAAAATGTCTGCAGTTTTTCCACAGACAATAATAATATACAGAAATAGTTTTCTTAAATCAGTCAATATTCACGCATTCTTAATCGTAATCATGGATCCATATTATGTTTTATGATACCATTTCATTTTACTGCTTTAACGCAAAAATAAAGATTAAGTAAATAGTTATAGTTTGTTAAATTCTCCACAGATTACACTGAATTGTATGTTAATACGAACATCGAAAAAGAATTTAAAGTTTTCAATTAGCTACGACATTTAAACTCCGATGCAGGGTGTCGTAAATCTTTTTTCAGTCGCGATCCCTTTTTATCAATGAGATTTTTGTGCGACACCCCAGGACTCCATAATATTTACAAAAATTCTATGGGACTCCATAATTATTGCGCAAATTCGACACACGCGTGAGTGAAATTGTCAATTTTTTTCACTTGCACTGTGATATAGTATTACAATTTTTAGGACATTACGTTTAATTTCTAATTTTTAAGACATAGAACAATGTGAAAATTTTAAATGAGGACCAAATGACAGCGTCGTATAAAGCAAGGAAAATTAACGCTTATATTATATAAAAGAATGCGTCGAAGCGTTTTCGTTTTCCCCCTTGTCTGTATTGTCTTATTTTTATCTATTTTCAGATACATTGTGTAAAAATATTTGGTAATTGTAAAATTATTATAATAAGTTAAAGAAATATCAAAACTTCTAAACTTGGGGGTCGCGACCCACAGTTTAAGAAACCCTGCTCCAATGTATCTTTGATACATAGGTCATCGACCAGGTAGCTCCTTTTCGGAAAGCCACTAAGAGGCTACTTTAGAGGAAAGTGAAGTCTGTTAGTCTAGTGTTTTAATTTGTTAACGAATGGATTCGTAGTGTATTAATTAATGGTTTTTTATTTCTGATTATTAAGTCTGTTTTTCAATTAAATCTACTCTAATATAATGAAAGGTGTTATGTAATGTCTGAAATAAATAAATGTTTTAAATAACGGATTTAAATTCTAAATAGATTTATTTTCCTACTATGATTATAGAGCAAAACACAGAATGAATATAACCCTGCGATCTTTGGCAAAAATCCATTTTTTACTACGTTTCAAATACGGCAACTATGAATTAAATCTTACAGTTTAGTCTCGAGGCCTAAAACACTAAAAAGTTTATTTTATTTTATCCTAATCAGTTTAGATCAAATAATTTTAAAATGTAAAACTTTTAAATTTTTTTGGAATTTTTAAAGGAAAATTATCAGCTACAAGAAAGCTGATTTAAGTATAAATTACAGTTTATCAATGCTATAAGTGAAAATGTTCATTTATCTTTTGAAATAATAATATTTTAATACAATAAATGTTTTGAATAGTTACACAATAGATTGTTAGACAAACGTCCTCATGATGTGCGTTTTGTTCTTCATTAAGGATCTGAATCCACCATATAATACATGTTGAGATATTTAGTTCATATTACAAGGATAAAATGCATGAAGAAAGCATTTATGATATTACGAATGTTAAATATAATCAACAAACCAATTATTAATATAGTTTCCAGTTAGTACGTTTAAAACATTATGATATATCATTGCGATGCTCCTGTTAAGTGAAGTGGTATTTACCAGTTTGTTATTTCTAATTGCTCATTTTAAAATGCACTTTTTAAATAAACATTCTGCTTCTTATGAAAACCCCCAACTGTTTTGTTCCTGTGAAATAAATTACGCAAAGAATTCTTACGTCTTCTCTGTGCAAAACATTTAATTGTTATTTTTTAATTTAAAAACAGCGAGGAACTTATTTTATATCTCTTTTAATCGAAAGTCCTATCTTTCTTCGTATGAGAGATATCTTTTGAGTTATACAAAATGCTTTTATTAAGTTACATGAAAATGAAGTTTACGAAGTAATTAAGCTCTAAAACCGCTGTGCGTGAAAGTGTTACAAGAGGGGAAAAATCTTGAATCCTTTAAATAATATTTTTGTTACATTTTTTTCCGCTTAAGCAACTTTTACTTATCTCAGTTTTGGAACTAGAATAAAATTTTTAAATCTTTTATTTTTTTTTAAATTCTGTAATTGAAACATTCTTTTTCATATTGCTCAGAAGAAGAGATAAAAAATATCTGTCTTCTTAGTGAAATAGCTTAGAGGCAGACATAATTAAATGCGTTGTTATACATTTAATCACCCTGTAACTAAGACACTAAAGTGAAACAAAATACTTAAACTTACTTAAAGCACAAAAGAATGTTATTATTAACAGTCCATTTGCTAAGTATCTCATGTTTCTGATGTTTTGAAGTACAACCTTTATTAAGTTAAAATGAAAAATTGTTGTCAGATTGTCAAAAGTATATTTAGAATAGAGTAATTAAAACTGCGATTGATAAGAATGAAATTTGCGACAAAATGACTCCATACGTAATGCACAAATTAATTAATAAATTAAGGTTAGGTTAGAAAGAAAACCAATAAAAAGAAAATACAGATTATTTTGGCATCCGTTTGCGTATGATATGTAATAGAATGACATCTTACACTTCTTAAGTTAAGAAATATTCAAAGCTTA